AGGGTTTTGATGTCTTCGATGTTTTTAATGTTTTTATCTTTAGTTTTTATCTATTTATGTAAAAGTGGTGAGTGATTGAGGGTCATTGTGCGCACAGAAAAACCCTGTAACTCTAGACTAACTGGTAAAAATAGTGCACAAAAATCCGTGTAGGACGGCGAAGTCCTAGCGCAAAAATTCGCGTGACAGGTGGACGGAGCCTGGATAATACCTGGATAATACCTGGATAATACCTGGATAATACCTGGATAATACCTGGATAATACCTGGATAATACCCGGGTTAAACGGACGGTGGAGACCTGCGACGCCAGGCGCTTAAATACCGTAACAAAAGTTTGTTTTTATCCTTTTTCTAAAAATCTTTTTCTTTTTTTCTTTTTCCAAACTCTCTTTCTCTTTCTTACTGTTTATTCAATGTCACATGCTGTTTTTATTTTTTCTTTAATTATGTAAAGCACCTTGCTGCTGAAATGTGCTATACAAATAAAATTTGATTGATTGATTAGAGAGAGAAGCTCGGTCGTCCAGGAGGGACTCTGAGCAGAGCCGCTGCTCCTCCACGTCGAGAGGAGCCAGTTGAGGCTCAGGCATCAGGTCAGGATGGACGCCTCCCTGGTGAGGAGATCATGTCCCACTGAGAGGAGGGGAAGACCCAGGACACGCTGGAGGGACGATGATCCTCGGCTGGGAACGCCTCGGGATTCCCCCAGAGGAGCTGGAACAGAGGCTGGGAGAGGGAAGTCTGGGCCTCCCGACCTGGGCTGCTGACCCCGCGACCCCGGATAAAAGGAAGAAGATGGATGGATGGATGGATGGATGGATGGATAGATGGATGGAGCCTAGCATGCTAACTAAATATTCAATTTGATTGCTCAGTATTTTTCTATTTAGAAGTTAAATATAAATTTCCAAACTAAATACTTAATTTGCAAAAAAACTAAATATTTAGTTAGCAAACCAAATATTTAAATTGTAAATTAAATATATCCATTTTGTAAAATATTACATTTTACGGAAGAGGATTAGGTCCACTGAAAAAAAATATTAATTCAGACTTCTTGTTTTCTGTGGCCCCAACCCAATTCTGTACAATTTGGAACTAAATATGGAGCTTCCTAACTAAATGTTTAGTTTGACTTTAAATATTTAACTTACTAACTAAATATTTAGCTTGTGAATTACATATGTAGTTTGGAAAATATTTATCTTCCTAACTAAAAGTTTAGTTCGGAACTGTAACGTAAATGAATGAATAACGCGGCGAAAAAATGACTTAAACTGAACCTTCCGTTTTCTCTAAGAATTATAGCCGTTAAGTTTTAAGTTTGCAGACAGCGGGCCGACCTCTTCCGGGTCATGCTGGGGTCGCGGCTCACCTGGCAGAATCTGGGGGTCCAGTCCGGTCAGGGTGAGTCCCTGCAGCAGCTGGTTCTGGGTCGGCCCGCTGGTTCCGCTGAGCAGAGCTAGCATTCCCGCAAAGACAGTGAGCGGAGCCAGCAAGACGTTGTCGTCGGTTCGGCCCGCCACCGCCCGGTACAACCGCGCCCCGAAGTCTGCGCTCCGGTCCAGGAGGTCCGGCTCAGCGGGATCGGGAGTCTGCAAGATCGCGGGCCCCGCCAGGAGGAAGAGGAGGGCCAGGTGGAGGAAGAGGAAGGCAGCCATGGTCTGCAGCAGCAGGAACAAACACACATTAACATCAGTACAGGGAGGTCCAGAAGGTTCTGGAAGAACCGGATCAGTCCAGCACAACCCGATCCATCTAAAGCAGAACTCCGTCTGGTTCACTGCTGATCACATGATCAATACAGTCATTCCCAAACTAATGACAGATAATCACTCTGGAGCTCCCCAGGTGTCAGTTACCATGGCAACAGGTGGAGGTCAGTTACCATGGTGACAGGGGATCCGGACCGGGACTGGATCTGGGATCCGGTGACTCAGACCCGTTAGTTTGGTTTGAACTGGACCCGACCAGAACCAGAACATGCTGATGAAAACATCAGGAACTCGGAGCTTCCTCTGCTGATCGATCATCTTCATCATCATCATCCGGTCAGCGGGGCCACGCCCTCTGTCGGTCATGACGTCGTTGTTGTTTACGTTTTATTTGATAAATCATGTCATCAGTTTGAGGATATTAATAATCTACTGATCAGCAGCAGGAATGTGGACGGAAAGATGAGCTCACTGATCGATAACTGATCGATAACTGATGAGGCTCTGCAGCCAAAAACAAACCTCACCTGCAGCTCGGCGGCGCCTTTTGATCTTCGGTCTTTCTGCTGTGAAAACTCACGCGCTGCGTCAACCACCGCAACACGGCCGGAAATCAGGGGCGCGGCCACGCTCTTTCAAAATAAGAGCTAAAATAAAACAGAACAGAGCCGACCCAGTCCGGTTCTCCAGAACCAACCTGCAGTTTCTAGATAGGTTTCTGTTCCAACACACCTGGACCGGAACCGGCCCTATGAACATCACAGGTCCGGTTCCATCGGTAGCTGCCATCAGTGACCCGGGGACCGGCTTCGGTGCTGCTTTTAATTTGTAAAACACTAACGCTCTTCCGGTAGTCTGATGATCGCTTTATTATGGAGAATCAGCGCAGGCGCAGTGCTGCCGCTGCACCCAGAACCAGAACGGCTCTGACCCGGAGGGAAGCGGGATTATTGGGAAAAAGTTCGAATCTTTTAACCCAGATTAGGATTTAAAATGATCCGTTTATATTTACTGAATTTCAATGGATTCCTTTTTTCATCTGGAGTCCATTCGGTACCAAACAGAACCGGTTCATGTACAGAAGAACCGGGTCAACACAATCAGACCACGGGTCTCCTACCTGGGGCTCCGGAGCCGCCAGTGGCTCGTTGGACCGTCCACAACAGATCCATAACGTTTTTAAGTTTCCCTTTTTTGCATTAAATATCCATAAATAATTAGATTAAAATACAAATAACATCAGATCTGTTTTAATTAGGTTGGAGTTTATGTATTCTTAGTTTTTTCATCACTTTCAATCCTGCAGAACAAAAAAACAAACATACAAAAAAAAACTTTACAACTTTTTATCTTTTTTGACCCTAAAAATAAATAAATGTATTTACACAACAGGAGTATCAAGTCTGACGTTCTGATTGGCCACAGGCAGGAAGTCATCACCACCTGACGTTCTGATTGGCCACAGGCAGGAAGTCATCACCACCTGACGTTCTGATTCTGAGTTCTGATGTAAACAAACGTTTCTGGATCATTGAAGGTTCTGGTGGCGGCAGACGGGTTAAACTGTAACGGATCCCAGGGAGAGTCCTGACGTCCTGGGGACAGTGAAGGCATTATCATGACCTGAGGTGGTTCTGACCCGGAATGACAGTCATCATGATTCCACTCTGGACCGGAGTCCCGAGCTGCCGGACCCACCAGAACTTCATTCTGACCCGGCTGAAACCCAGAAGCATCTCCATCGGGTCAGACGGAACCCAGAGGAAGTGGCAGAACCATTTCCTGCTGAGCTACATCAGGTCCAAATGGAGCCAGAACCGGGTCCAAAACCCCGCGGAGCCCCTCCCTCCACACGGCGACGTCCCGGCTGCTCCGGGCCAGGTGAGGAGCGAACACCACCTCCAACCTACGCAGAGCGCTGCTCTGGTCGCCACGGGAAACCGTCACCTGGAGACGGCGCATCATCAGTCGAACCGTCACCTGATTGGCCCAGGCCAGACCGAGGGCGGGACTCACTGAAGAGGATGGAGAGCTGGGCAGGTAGACAGGCAGACATGAGGTCAGGATGAAAACGCTTCGGGTTTACCTGGAGGACAGGTTTACCTGGAGGACAGGTTTACCTGGAGGACAGGTTTACCTGGAGCTGCTCTCTGGTTGGTGGAAAACATCTGTGACCTTAAACAGATAAAAAACAAAACAAAACAGGAAGTAACCATGACTACTGATCTGAGACGTCTTTCAAGTGAGGACAGGAGACAGGTGTGTGTGTGTGTGTGTGTGTGTGTGTGTGACCCACCTGGTTGATGCAGACAACAGGGGTGGTGAACTCGTGGCTCAGGTGATGCACCATGGAGGAAACGGTGAGCAGCTGCTTGTTCCTCTCCAGCCAATCACCAGGCTGGAACTCGCACCTGAACAGCGCCGCCACCGAGTCGACCACGACCAGCCGGACTCGGCCCTGGGCCAATAGGAGCGCGGCGCGCCGAGACAGACACACCTGCAGCGAGTCCTGGGGATCAACACACCTGTGAGCCTACGGTCGGCCAAAGACGCCACACAATCTGAGGTCAGAGGTCAAACGCACCAGGTCGGCAGCGTGTTCCAAGTAGATGTTGTCGGAGAAGCGGAGGCGGCCAATCAGAGATGGCGGGACGTCAGATCGCAGCGACGTCTGCTCTGAGATCAGCTGCTGCAGCCGCCGGATGGGGAACGGATCCTCGGTACAGATGTACAGCGCACCTGGACGGCAGAGGTCAGAGGTCATGGAAGGCTGGGAAGGTCACCGACACCCTGCGTACGCATGGTGCGTTCACCGACACCCTGCGTACGCATGGTGTGTTCACTGACCTGCACTCAGGCCTCCGTGCTCCACCGGATACTGCACAGACAGGCACAGCTGCAGGCCCAGCTGGGTCTTCCCCGCTCCGCTCTCTCCCGCCAGCTCAGTGACGCCCCCCACTGGCAGTCCTCCGCGAAGCAGCTGGTCCAAAACCGGACAGCCAGTACCGAGCCGCAGGCCGGACTCTAACCTGCGGCACTCACCTCGTTGCAGCTGGAGGGCTGAGGGACACACACACTGCTGTTAGAACTGAACATGACGTCACACTGTGTGAGCCAATCAGATAATCTAACCTGTGATTGGCTGACGGGTCCTGCAGGCGGTGGCGGCAGCATGGAGCAGCTCCTGGACATCTGGGCGGGACAGTCCGGTCATTTTCTGAAGATCCGGCTCAGAGAAAACCAGAACCTCCCGAAAAGACTTCAGATGAGCTGGGGGTTGAGGGGAGAAAACACGTTACTATGGCAACGACACATGGTGATGGTCAGTGAACACAGCTGAGCCCAGAGGAAAGCCGTCAGCTTTAATGAGGCTCTTGTTCTGTTCAAATACAACCTGGGGGTTAATTAGAAAAATAATAAAGTTTGGGTTCATTAAATAAAGCCGACGTCACTGTATCACATCAACGATGAAGGTCTGAGAGTGAAGCTTCTTCTCTGTGGAGGACCAGTTAAAATCTGGGTTTGGAGTCCGGTGGAGCAGCTGGTACCTCTCTGAACTGCGGAGATGATCCGCGGTTTGAGCTGCAGCTGGTCCCAGTTCATCTCTGCGGTACCGGTTCTGGTTCTGACCAAATTTGTTTGTGAAAGCGTCACAACACTGACAAACTCCTTCCTGAGCACGTGACGTCATCGCTTGCCGCCGGGTCCAGAAAATAACTCCAGTTCCGGTACCGCTGCCTGTTATGGCCCAGTCCCGTTCGTTCCGCTTGTCCCGCCCCGGCCGAACCGAACAGAACTGGCGGCGGCGCGAAAAATGACGTAGATATGAGTCTGGATATGGATTGGCTCAGAAGTGACGTCAAATTTGGGCGCCACTTGGGGAAGCTAAACACAGATCAGAACCAGAACCAGTAATTGATCCATTAGTCTGAGTGGTTACGGTTCGGATGGGGCGAACATGAAGCCCAGCTACTAGAACTCGAACCGCTGTCTGTTGGTTCTTCCCGCCTGGTTCCGGTACTTTACCTGGTAAGTGGGGCGTGTTCCGCTGTAGCTGGTGGTCCAGTGGTTAGCGACTCTTCCTTCGGCCGATTCGGTTGTGGGTTCGATTCTAGGTTAGGAGTTTCTACTTCCTAAATGAGATTTTGCTGTCAGACTGTTCTGGAGGTTCGGTTTGTTCGGAAGACATCTTTGGGTCTTCCATTGGTGTTGGATCAGAACCGATCTAGTTGATGATAAATTATCTCATTTTCTGCAGGGATTTCCAGCTACTGTTCAGGTCCAAACACCCTGGTTCTGGTTCTGGTTCATGAGCTCATTGTTTTGATTTGCAGATAAGCTGAATGGTTCTGCTCCAGAAACCAAACTGGGTCACAACCCTTCAGAACCTCTCAGAAGTGGAGCAGGAAGGGATCCGTGTTCACACCGAGGATCCAGCAGTGAAACATTCGTCTCGTTTTAAAATGTGGACGATGTTCATGAATAACAAATTCAAACAAGACCTTTGTCTTCAGCTCACAGCTGTTAAATGACTGACGGGTGTTCTGCAGCGATTTAGGTCCAGGTCCAGACTCACTGAAGCACCCTCAGCATAATACTCCCACCACTGTGTTCTCTGCCTCTGTCTCTTTTGATCTGACTAAAGGAAACGAATGGCTGCAGGACGCAGAATCTGTTTCCAGATTGTTGTTGATCTATGCTAAAGAGGAACTGCTCCTCATCCTCAGGCACCGCCACCATGAGCTCCAGGGTGTGCCGGACCTGTGGGGGGTCCGACATCGATGTGGACCAGGCCCGGGGCAGTGCAGTGTGCACGGGCTGCGGCTCGGTTCTGGAGGACAACATCATCGTATCAGAGGTCCAGTTCGTGGAAGGAAGTGGAGGCGTGTCGTCCGCTGTGGGACAGTTTGTCTCTGCTGATGGTGAGACCACTGACTGGTAGGACCAGAACTGGGCCTGAACCAGTATTTCATTAAGAGCAGGGATGAAACCGAAGGAACGAATAGTTTCTGATTCCAAGGAAGATCCGATTCCCCAGCTAACTAACTAACTAACTAACTACTAACAACTAACCAGCTTCACACACTACAGGACAGGTCCACCAGTCCTCCGTCCCAGTTTGAGTTTAGTCTAGAGGACACTTTTCTTTTGAAACAGTGCAGACTCTAAACTCAGTTAGTTATCCGAGTTTAGAGTTGAAGTTTGCATGAAATGAAGCTGTTAGATTCAGCCATGATGGCACCTGGTGTTTGTGCCCACCCACCATGGTGGCTTCAGCACGAGGCTGTTTGAAGCATCAGCCATCAGGCTGCAGCCCCCCCACTGGGCCTCATGAGGCGGCCTGAACGTTGCTCTGCAGGAACATCAGCTACCAGGACAAACTGGACCTTACAGGTTTAGACCCGGCTCAGGTCGGGGATGAAACTCAACGACACACCCAGACCAGTTCCTGAAGAACTACAGAGATCCTCGATCAGCACCGACTCACTGAAGAGAGCCTCCTGCCACACCTGCCTGCCCTCCACATGATGACTCTGTTCACGTTCACCTGACAACAAAACCACACCAGGTCAGTCAGCTGGTTGCCAGGCAACACCAACTGTGTGAAGAGAGCCTCACCTCCATGTAGTCCTCCTGCTGAACCTGCCGCCACGCAGCACCACGTTCAGCTTGAAGGTGAACGCCTCGTCATTCTGGAGGAAACGGACACACCGTAACGCCTGGTGAAAGACCGACAGGTGGGATTCAGGACAGGTGGACACACCCTGCACCCTCCAGGCACAGGAACCTGGAAAGGTGGAGCTTCATTAGCCCCTCGGCTGGTTTCTCCCTCAGCAGAGCAACATTCAGACCCAAAACAGATCGGTGGAGATTAAATCATTTCATTTGAATTTTTTCCAGTTTAAATTTTCTGTACAAACCTTATGGCCCAAATTTAGCACCGCAAACATCTCAAGAAATAAATGTACAATTAAATCTCATTAAATAATGCACAGTAAACATTTTAATCATCGTATTCATTGACTACTTTTAAACAAATAGAGGGGAGTCATTATATTTTTAGGCCTCCAGTCATTTGTGTCACGGTCTGGGAGCGGCCTGGTTGTGGGTGAAGCAGGAGTAAAATGATGCTCTGAACACGATGGAGCCGTCCGGCCTGAAGGTGCTGATGGTGTGACCACAGCAGGAGGCCAGCTGCCTGTTGATGGCGCGGACCATCACGTCTAAATCAGGACATCACAGACGGTGAGACACAGACGCTCTGGCGCCAAGGTCAGTGAAGAAGAACTGACCGACGGCTTCAAAGTGAGGCGTCTGCGCCGAAGCCACGCAGATCCACAGGTACCGATCCCGACACTCCGGCTGAACCACACCTGCGGATGGAAAATCTGCTGAACAAATGAAGGTCAAAGGTCAGGAATGTTCTGGAAAACTGTCGTGAAGCAGCTGTGTTTCATCCTGCAGACTCAAAGTCATATGGGCCTTCAGATCTGGGTTCCAGAAACCCAGAAGAACCCAGAGAACGGCTGGAAGACCGTTTTTATGACCAAACTAGATGAACCAGACGTCTTATGCTAACATGTGAACTCTAATCAGAGGGCTGTTGAAGAGCAGCGCCCGGCCTCACTTTGAAATCAAACATTACTGATCGATCTGATTGTAGAGAAACATTTGACTTGGAGGAATCGGAGCTAAAATCTGCTCAGTTTTACCCTCCAACTGAAGCAGCAGCAGATCATCACCTGCCCCCTCTAGTCACTTAACAGTAGACAAATAATTCATATTCTGTAAAGATTTTCCTCCATGAAATGGGCTGGCTCGCCACATGCTGAAACTGGAAGCTCCGACTCCACTGAGGGAACCACTTGGACTCTGCAGCCAGGTGGGCTAATCACCTGGTTGTCATAGTAACCAGGGAGAGAGTCCAGGTGAGGATGCTTGGGGATGATTGCAGCTGAAAACCTCCTTAGTTCCCATGTGAGCGGTACTGGTACCAACCGGGCCTGGGCTCAGCTTCTCCTGTCAGAACCGCTGGGTGAGACTGAGCTGGACCCGGAGCCGAGGCTTAAACGGGTCGTTAGAACCCAGAATGGTTCCGACCAGGGATCCATAATGGAAACATTTCCTGCAGAAGCTTCTGAATTCTGCACCAAATATTATAATAAATGTGAACTGACTTTACTGGAAATTTCTCAAATATATTTTTTAAAAATTTATTTAATAAACTTTTTGCAGTTTAGGTAATCACTGTAATTCTAATAATAATCATGTTAAGTTTTAAATATGCTCTGAAAAGAATGAAAGTTTTTAGGATCTAACATGAACTTTTCACATTTAATTTAACCGGCCTGCAGCCACAACCTCCATTTAGATATGAACATATAGAATCACTTAGACATATTTTAAAATGACATTCTTTGTTAAAATGACACTTTATTCAATGTGTCTGTCTGTTGCAGGTCCAGTTAAAGCTCCACTCCTCGGTTCTGGTTTCCACACCGGCGTCGGAAAGGAGTCCAGAGCCCAGACGCTGCAGAACGGTGAGTTCAGGACGCGTCTTCATCTGGGACGCTTCTCCAGGTGTGACTCCAGGTGTGTGTGTGTGTGTGTGTGCAGGTAAGCGTCAGATCCAGCAGCTGGGCAGCCAGCTGCAGCTCAACCAGCACTGCCTGGACACGGCCTTCAACTTCTTCAAGCTGGTCGTCAGCAAACACCTGACCAGAGGCCGGCGGACGGAGCACGTCATCGCCGCCTGCCTCTACCTGGTGTGTCGCACCGAAGGCACGCCCCGTATCCTAGCAACCAGCCACCTGCCCTGCTGTTTGTCTTCCCACATCTTAGTTTTTAGCCTCCATATTTTGAGCTTTTTATTTTTATTGAGATTATCCACTAATAAAAGTAAGGTATGTTAAATCTTTCTAAATAAAAATTGTTCTACATTTTCATGAAAAACAAGTGTTTTTTCTTCCTTCATCTTAAATTTTTAGAATTTTTGTTAAATCTGCGATTACCTCAAATTACTAATCTCTCTTTAACTAGAACCTCAAACCTGATTGGCTCAGAAGCAAAAGTAACGAAGGGAAGCCAATTCAGAAAAATGTAAATAAAAATGACTATTACAATCTAAAAAAGCAGAAAAATAAAAAGGAAGTTGTGTCTTTATTCTACGTAAATACATCAATAAAAATCAAGTCCTGAAAATATTTCTAAATAAAAAATTATCTTCCTTTGTAAATAAAAACAGAAGAAAATAAATAAAATGTATTTTTATTGAATTTCCTTCCCTGTAAGTCGGATCAGCAGCTCCAGAATAAAGAAGAACCCGTTCAGAACTCAAGGAATCGTTCAGTTAGTGAACGATTCCTAACCGAATTGTTCAGTTTCTTTCCTGAACCGAGCTTCAGACATGCTACTGGACCTGAGCGACCTGCTGCAGGTAAGAGCGACATGTATGCTGCTGGACCAATCACAGACCGTCTCTGAGCTCTGGACCAATCACGGTGTGTTCTCTGTGTCCAGGTGAACGTCTACATCCTGGGGAAAACCTTCCTGCTCCTGGCCCGGGAGCTGTGCATCAACGCGCCCGCCATCGGTGAGACTTCCTGTCGCATCAGGTCACGTGACTCGCCTGTAACACGTCAAATTTAGCTAAAACGGCAGCGATTAGACCAGGCGTGTCAACTCCAGTCCTCTGCCGTCCCTCAGTTTTTAGATGAGCCTCAGGTACAAAACCCTGGAATGAAACGGCTTCATCTCCTCCTGGTGCAGATCGGCTCTCCAGAGCCTTAATGACCTGATTATTCTGTTCAGGTGCTGCAGCAGAGAAACATCTAAATGTTGCAGGACACCTGGACTGGAGTTTACACCTGCTGAAGAAAGGTGTATCTACAGTGACCTCTGGTGGTGGCTGCAGGAAACTACATCAGATAAAAACACACTGCAGTTTCAGTCACACAAACTTTAATGATTGAAACACCTCAATCAGTCAGAACCAGAACCGCTAACGCCATCAGAACTGTAGCTAACGCGATGAAATCTGTACCTAATGGTATCAGAACTGTAGCCGCTAACACTATCAGAACCAGACTGTCCCTCCTGGATTGAGGCCTTTCAGTCCGTCAGGTCCAGCTTCAGCAGTAAAAGATCAGTTCTGGGATCTGTCCCCCCTGCACTCCGGTACCGTTGGTGCTGTCCGAGGAGCACTGGAACTGGAAGGTCACCTTCCCACATTGCACCTCGGTCATTCCCTCTTGTCCAAAGTAGCTGAGCTCGTTCCCGTCCAGGACGGCGCTGACCGTGTAGAAGGTGTCCTGCTCCACCTGGACAGGGTGTTCGAACCAGACGGGGAAGGTGCTGCTCGACCCGTCTGATAGAAACTTGGTGAGGTTCTGGGCCAGAAGGGTGCCCTGTCGCTTCAACTCGATCCTCACGCTGTACTCGGCCTTCCCACCACTCGACCCGTACAGGCCCAGCCCGGCCATGAAGATCCTGCGGTCCACGGCGAACTGGATGCTGTCGCAGCGCCCCCTGTAGCGCCATTGGTTGCTGCGGTAGGCGGATGCCTGGAAGCGGTGGCACCGCTGTGGCGCCAGGCCAACCCGTTTCCCCACAGGGAAGTCCAGTTGGGGTTTGTTGGTGGCGGTGTACCACAGGAAGATGTTGTGGGTCTCTGCCAATGTCAGAACCTCCGACTGTGCTGGTCCATCTGCAAACTCCTGCAGAGACATGGAGGGGACCCGGAGCAGGTACAGAGCCTTCCCAAGCACGGTCCGCTGGTTCCAAGGGGTCACTGCCAGTCCCTGGCGCCGGCACTCTGCCGCCGCCCAGCTCAACGCCGCCTGGAACACCGCCGCCTCACGGATGTTGAGTGTCTCCCTCTGCAGGACGATCTCCAGCGTGGGCTGGTCGATCTCACAGAACCCTTCAGACCGCAACGCCAGCTCGGCTTGTGCATCGATCACCTCCCAGCAGCGCTGCGTAAGCTCCGCCTCCTCAAACAGCCGACTCTGGGACAGCAGCACGCAGGCGTTCTTGGCCTCCAGGCTCGTCTCCAGGAAGCCCACGCACGCCTTCGCCACGGCAGGGACGATGTACTTCTTGGCGGCGTAGAGCGTGGCCAGAACCATGTCGGCGTCCAGCTCCACCTCATCGCTGTACATGTACCTAAGACACAGGAGGGGACATTAGAGACCTCTGACCCAGATCTACTGTGGACCAGAACCCTGAAGAAGGTTCCAGATAAGAAGCTCCTGGGTTCTGCTGGTTTCTAGTGAAGACACCACATCTACTGATTGGTACGAGGCTCAAGACCCGTCAGAGGAAGCGACTGAACCTCTCTGAACCGGTCTGAAACCGCTCTGAATAGGTCCAATCCAGTCTGAACCTGTCTGAGTAAGACTTAGTGAGTCAGCACTAAGGTCCGAACTCAGTCATACCCAATGTGAATAGATTTACTCGGCCTGAATGGGTCAGAACTGCTGTGAACATCCTCTGTCTGGGTCTGACTTTGATCTACAGCATTCTGAACCAAACCGTTCTGGTGGTTCAGTGGTGGTTCTGGAACCGTGTCTGGACTCACTTCAACAGGGTGAGGAAAGCAGCTGGTTCCACGTCCGGGATGTGGATCTCCGACTGTCCTTCCGCCAGATCTCCATAGAACATGGCTCCAAACACGGAGCTGCCGACCGCCAGGACGTACTGGAACACAGACAGGAAATGGGTCGGAACCAGCCGGCAGTACCACACCAAGAGCACAGGATTGCTCCGGACCAGGTGCTGCACCTTATGAGCTGGGACCGTCTGCGTTTCTCCAGGCGGACCCACAATGAAGTGGATGTCGGCCATGTGCTCGTTGTTGAACATCAGAGCGTTCCTGCAGACAAACAGAAACCAGCAGTTGTCACCTGCCAACGTGTCACCTGTCAGCAGGGGGCACCGTGTCACCTGCCAACATGTCACCTGTCAGCAGGGGGCACCGTGTCACCTGCCAACATGTCACTTGCCAGCAGGGGGCGCCGTGTCACCTGCCAACATGTCACTTGCCAGCAGAGAGGGCCGTGTCACCTGCCAGCAGGGGGCGCCGTGTCACCTGCCAGCAGGGGGCGCCGTGTCACCTGCCAGCAGGGGGTGCCGTGTCACCTGCCAACATGTCACTTGCCCGCAGGGGGCGCCGTGTCACCTGTCAGCAGGGGGCACCGTGTCACCTGCCAACATGTCACTTGCCAGCAGGGGGCGCCGTGTCACCTGCCAACATGTCACTTGCCAGCACAGAGCGCCGTGTCACCTGACAGCAGGGGGAGCCGTGTC